AATAACTAAACGAAAAATTAATACTTTTGAATTGAAACTATGCCCACCATGTTGCATTAATTTGCTTGCGTGTGAAAATCATGCTTTAACTAATACAGAATTGACGTTTGAGATGAGAACTTGGGTTGCAGGTATTATCCTTTTGGTAAAATTCTGGTAGGGAGGCATTGTCGTATTGCAACAGGCCTTGTCAAATCAGCATATTTGTTGAACACGGAGGTTAGCATTGATTGGTTGGTTTGCTTCAGTAATCTTACGCTTTCCTCTGTTCTAACCCAAGTAAGTATCATATCAAAATGAGCTACCCCAAATTATCAAGTCGACTGTTACAAATAAAGGAACAACTAAATACTTCATGATGTTCATGAGGCTGGAATTGCATCTTCCATACCTTTATTGGTCGGAAATACTGAAGATTAAGATGTGTTAATCGTGGAAGTGACTTTCCATGTAGAAGAGAAACGAACCGTGTTCTTTTGTCCCACCTGAAGCCACTGTTACCGTACTATAGTAAGCATCACGTCCGTCTGCTTTACTGAAGTAAACTGCCATTGTTTCCCGGTCATCTACTAAGCAGTCGTTTGGAAGTTGGAGAGGGATCCAAGTGTTTGCATGTCTATCTAATTTTGGTAACGAAACTTTAGGGACTTCTACTCTTTTGGCTCCCAACCAAGTCATTTGAAAATCATTTAAAAGGCGCGGGGATAATCAAGCAAAAAGCATTTGAACTCTGACACTTAAACATCAGGAATACCTGAAGACCTACTTTCTTAAAAATGATAATTGTTCGTGAAGATTTTATTCTTGTTAACTGAGATCAAATTAAAATGATTCTGTGCGATTCTGTGACATGACTGCCCATACGCAATTGCCATGAATTTAGTCGGGCTCAGTGATGCCATGGTAATTAAGCTAGGAGTTATGGATTAATTTCAACTCACGCTGCGCCCGGAATTGTGGCGAATCTCGCATTTTAATCTGAGTCGTGATCTGCAAACGTGAATGGCTTTCGGGTGACTTACTGTTCAATGGTATGCTAATACTACCTGAGCAGTTAGAGGTGATTCGTCAGCCAGTGACTACTATCATGTTTTATGATTCTAAAAATTGCCTCATGTTGGAAATTTGGTTTCGGTTTAAACCTACACGAGTAAAACTAGAGCACATATCTAAAACAAAATTCTTGGCTAATCGTCCTACAGGAATGCACTTTAGTGAAACCCGGTTGGAATGTTGACGGCTCAGTCATCGCTGATTGGTTAAATCAAATCACGCAGAATGGTTGCACGAGTTGGTCAGTGTCAGAATGTTGCAAATTGCTGGTTTCTGTGCAAAACACAAGTGTTATGGTGAATTATGTATAATTGCCGAGATGAATTACCTGTAGGCAGTGTGATGGGGGAATCGATAAGTAGGATATTAAACGAAGTGTTAACGGCACTTAATTGAAAGATGTATGAAAGGAGACATTACCTGTGTTCATTCATAAGTCTTGTGCTTACGGGAACGGTCTCTTGAGGGAGTGGGCAGTTTGCTTTATTTTTGCCATATCGGTAACATTAAGTACCCTCCTCACTTCGTAGGTGAAAAGTAAGGGAAATGTTGAATTATAGTAAACCAAAGGTTCATTTCTATTGATATGAAATTGATTCCTATTTTTTTCCTAGACTGTAAAATTTGAGCCTAACCACCCAGAATTAAATTAGTCTTAATTTTCGGCAACGTTCACAACAAATGACTTGTGTAATCTAGTCCAATTATGGGAAAATCGATGCTTTATAACATTTTACAGTCAGAAAGTCGTCAAAGACGGCAAACAGTAATTTAAGAAGCCCTGAGCAAGAAATTTTTCTGGAACCTAATAGATTACCATTTTGTTTCACTATTTAAAAAAAACAAGTTAGATCTTTCGACACTTATGTATGAAGAGTGTGAAAACCCAATCACAAGTTATGTGACATTAATTTTAGTTTTTTTTGCGAGATATTAAATTCCGTCATTTTCGTAGATAAAAACAAGTTGACATGTTGTGAAGATTGCAAGTAATTTGCAACACAAGCAGCAAAAAATTTGGCGAAAATTTATGCCAGTTGATCTTCTTCCGTGTATGTAAAATTTTGGAGATTTTGTGACGCAACTGAAAAATCAACTGTCAAATTTAAGTTTATTGAAATTCTAAAATGCAGATTAGCCCTGTAGGCACGCAATAAAATTTTTAATCAGTAATAAGGCTTTATGCCACACTAGTTGCAGCAATCAAACAAAGTACTGAAATGAAATGGAATCACACATTGGTTCTGTTAATATTAGGGAGAAAGCAACATGAAGTACTTTTTGAATTAACAAGTTACAGACTACAAAAAAGTAAAAGTACAGCTTTAGATGTGCAGTTCGAGTAAAAAAATGCTTACTATTCTGATGTATTATGTAAGTGTTTAAGAAAACAAATGCATTATGGTACACGGTTAGTAAATTGGGCTCATGACCTTCGTTTTATAAGTCTAGATGGCCTATAGTCTATACAACCAATAATTAAATCCCTAAAATCTTTAAAAAATTATATACTAATATGTGTCGGACAACCCACGCATGTTATTTTTTGTCTTTTTACGGCATTCTGTTGCCTTTTAGTCATAGGTTATTATTAAATACATTTGATCAAATTAAACTACAATATGCTTTTTGAATAGATTTCTATTTTTGCAAACCACAAATACATAATTTTTGTGTACAGCGGAAAATAAAACATTAATTTACAGGTTTGATTTATTGCTAATAAACAACCTTGAAAGTTAGCATCCATTGGAGTGATCAATCGTGCAGACCCACACTGTCTTTCGGCACGAAATGCTTTCGCCGAAATTATGGTTTGGGATTCTGCCGTTTTACTTTTTCAACCCGTAGATTACCTTTGATAAACGATGAAGTCACTTACATGTTCGAAGGTTCGAACATATCTGCAACTACCTCCGCCAGTAGTTTTTTGCGTTTTCTTTATCTTCACCTTCTGGAAAACAGACAGGTAATTGCCTTATCACCAAACTCACAATGCTTGTAGCGAAGAATCTTCTTGCACGCTTTGTTGTCTTAAAAGACAAAAGAAGACCGAGGTCCGCGGTCAGGTACGCTAAATACTCGTGTCCTGCTCAAAGCTTTTTGGGATTGAACAATTATCGTTGCATTTAAATGCAAATTAGGGCAAACTGGGATTGTTTTATCACTCTGTTTTCCATGTTTTAATTTGAAGGCCTCCGAAAATGGCGAAAATATACAGGAACCTGTCAATTGGACCGGTATTGGAAATCTGGGTGCTACTACACCGAACGACAGTCGAAGATGCTTTACTCTAGGGTTCGTTTCTAAATGAGCTTTTGCCTTTTTTATTTTTTTAACATTCTTATGTTGCACTTATTTTTGTGTCTAGTTGCTTAATTTTGAATGCTAAGAAATCTCCCTAAGTTTGTTTGTCCCAACAGATTTTGCTTTTTGCCAGTTTATGGTGGTATTACTTAAATCATTTTTTTTGAAAAAAGGACAAGAAATCCACTTACATTTTCTTGTCAAGGTAGTAACCGATATTTTAAAGATTTATTTACGCTTATTGACCTCTTGTTCACTGCGAACTTTTCAGGCCAGATCACCTTGGAATTTTTCGCCCCAAAATAAGTCAGCGTTTAAAGTTTAGTTTTGTGTAAAATTCATTGCGATAGTGACATATGGACGCTGGTAATTTTCATCAACCGGAACAACTTTCATGTAATTCCTGTTCTTGTGGTCTTGGTTTAATCAAATTCGGCTCTTAAAACTGCCCTAATTGCACATGCGTTGTTCAGCTAATCTTTTTTGAATCCGCGCAAATTGTCAGTGCTGTCCACTGGTCGCGTCGCACGAGTCAAGCCCCGTGGTCATGTTTTCTGACAAATTCCAATGCCGCCTCACTGGTGCTGGCATGGCTCAGAACGCCTTTTCGTTTCAACTTAGCGTTTCAACCGTGGTGCGTTAGTGAAACCACATCAGCGGATTCCCTTAATTTACGTACTATCGCGAAAACTTTGCCCTTCCTGTCAATTATACTTCCTATCACTCTGGAGTTGGCTTTTTACATGTTTGCATCACTTACTTGCTCTCAACAATATCCTCTTTCAATAACATGGGTCGATCATGGCTTGGACAAAGGGCTTATGAAGTACTAGCGTAAAATTTTCGGTGGTTTTAACTGCAATCAGTGCTCAACTGTAGGCCCTATTTGCACAAACTCGCCTGTCGAGTTTGTGGGAGTTTTACAGCGTCACTAATGTATCTGCTCCCATCATAAACGTCACTTCGTGACACCGCTAACTTGGTGCATGAGAGTGACTAATTATTGCTGATTTTAGAACTAGTGGTTTTTGTTTCTCGCGGTTAGTTCGGTGCTGGGTTTTTAAGCACAAAGACCGCGTCATAGGCAGTCATTGTGCACAAGTTTTAGCAAAGCACTGGAAAGGTATTGCCGTGCGTCTTAATCTGAGCAAATTCACATCTCTGGCGCCTGTTATTGTTGATTTTGTTCCCTTTTTGAACCCACTTGAATTCGGTACAGTGTGGAAAAACATTTTTCACCTGCACATTTGTTCTTTGAGTCAGTTTTTGAAGCGAAGGGTTGCTTTATCGTTGAACTGCTAGGTAATCTGACCAGACGAGCCATGGATTTATCTCTTGTGTGTGTGTGCATGCGTGGCGTTGCTTGAGCGCGAATTTGGGATCTGACAAAGACCAGTCATTTTGACAATCCTAACACTCCTTCTGGATTCAAGACCCCAATGTTGGACTCGAATACGCGTCGCAAGCAAGCTGTTCCAGCGAAGGTCCATGAGACAAGCGTCCAAGAAACACAATCGTCTACTGGACCCTTTGATGAGTGCAGTTTGATGGTGAGGTTGAATTGGCTGGAGTTACTTGTTTACTCACCTGCTCAGATTATTTACCTACGCGTAAATGACTCATCGCGTCTCCAATTGGCCTCATCCGACGTCCCTTTTCGGGGCCACTGATTGACGTGGAATGGCACCCACACACAAACACTCTGTCCACTTCTGATCAATACTCTTGTGCTGGGTGTCACATTCACTTTGTAGGAACAAGTGCCAACTGAGACGGATGGGCTGCTTGTTGTGTGTGTTTCCACTTGCTGATTTGTCTTTTGGCCGCTTTTCGGCCACCAGGGACGCAGGCTGCAAGTCTAGTGACTCATTCAACTTCACGTGCAGGCCGAATATCTGCTGTCTTTCCATCTAATAAGATGCCACCGAAGAACAGTCTGGAGAGGAGTGCGTTTTCTGACTAGAATAGCAAGCCCCTTCTATCAAAACTGCTGAATTTTGTGGTGTGCGTGTGTGTGTGTGTTGAGGTGAGCGTACAGGTTGTTTGGCCGTAGTCTCCAGTCTCCACTTTACCCGCGTGTACACACGTTTTGGCAGCCGGTGATTGGCTGAATTGACGTCATGCTTTAGCAGCGTCCACACTGCAGTTCATCGGAAGGCGTTCGCGCTGTTCCAGGCTGTTGTCTGCGTCAGTGCATAACTCACTCG